AAAAAGGGCACCACATTAGTTAGTGTTGGTTTATGGGTTTGGAGAAATGATCCCAGGGGATGTGACCACCAAAGTGAGGACAAACAGAAGTGTGTGCATGTGTGTGTTAAAACATAAAAGAATGTCAAGGTGACTCCTCCTCATTAATGAACCAATTACTTTTGACAACACCTCTAGCATGATTACTAACATTGACAGATCAGTATTTCTCTGCTTAGGAGCAGAAGGCTAGTCCGGGACAGTATGTATCAATCTGCTTTATGTAAGACCTTCCAAAATAGGGAAGAAAAAAAAAACTAACACCTAAACTAAAAACTTTTTCTGATTTGCACATTAAAACCTTCCATAAAAGACATTCACTTATTGACTTACTCGGGGGGAACATACCTTATTGATTTCTAATACGAACCAGCATGTAGAAAAGAAAGCAATGGCTTTCAACCTCATCGACCCCAAGTATTATATCAGTTCTACAAGGCTGTTTGCTGGGTGGCTCAGTAACAATTTTCCATTAATATCATTCCTGGCATGGCGCTGAGGGATAATGCTCTTAAAACTACAAAGTCGGTTTGAACCACAAGGTCGGTGCTTCAAGCTCATGAGTCACTCCTTATCTGTACAGGGTTGCTATAGGTCGGAACCAACTCAATAGCACTTAACAACATGACACTATAGAGCAAGGGCAGGAACCTTAACTGGGATTTTCAATGCAGTTCATCATTTTTCACTCACACTAAAAAAGGAGCTCTGGTAGCGTAGTGGTTACGAATCGGGCTGCGAACCTTAAGGTCAGCGGTTCGAAACTACCAGTCGCTCCGCGGGAGAAAGATGAGGCTTTCTACTCCCGTAAGGATTTACACCCTTGGAAACCCTGTACAGGGTCGCTATGAGTCGGAACCAACTCTACGGCACTTAACAAACAAACAAACAAAAAATTACACGAGTTTTGAAAGGATTTACCAGCTATATAAGGAGTCCTGGTATGGCACTGTGGGTTAGATGTGCCAGACTGCAAAGCTGTTTGAACTGCAAGGCTGGTGGTTCAAGCTCACCAGTTGCTCCTTGGAAACCCTATACAGGGTCACTATGGGTAGGAACCGACTGGATAGCACTTAACAACAACAACAACCCTATATAAATAGAGAAGTGAATAAAGGGGGGAAATGAGAGCAAAGCATTAGTCTTAGCACAGGGATTCCATAAGACACATACTAGAAACACAAGTAGAAATCAGAAAGGGTGCTTTGCAGATAGCATCAGCAAGGACATGCTCTTCCTCCTCCTTCCTTCTTCCAAGAATCACTTTCAGGCCACTCCCACCCATAGCTCTAGGTAGAAGGCAGCTAGACTGGAAGTCTGGGAACTAAAGGAGTTAGATCACTTCTGCACTGTCAATGTCCAGAGCTAAGTCATTCCTGCACTATGAACGTCCCACGGTCTGAAAGAAATGTGCTTCTCAACTGCCCCCCTCCTCACCCCCAGCAAACATTTTATGCCAGAGCCAGGTGACAACTAATTGGGGAACCACCGAAGGAATGCTTTCCCATAGGTGAAGGTCATTCAAACTGCCTTCTGAGGGATCCTCCAGTTCCAGTAGTCTCATCACTATTACTATTAAAAACCCTAAAACTTCTCCTTTTTAAAAAAAAAAACAAGGTAAAGGACAAAGTGCAAACATAATGCAATGCTTCCTATTGGAAAAACTTAAAGGTACAGTGCCACCATCTGGCCTCATCAGGAAACAAAGCAAATGACATTATTTATTGTAACATTTTGACTGTTCCAGAAAACAAGGTCTAAGCAGAAGTGTTTGGTGTTGCTTTTTTTTTTACAAAAAACATTATTATTATAGTTTGGATGAAAGTCTACAGAGCAAATTAGTTATTCAGTCAACACTTTATACATATTTCATTAGGTGACATAAACATGTTGCTCACTTTTATAAATCTCCAGGTTAATATTAGGTACTTGGGTCATGCCTCATGCATGACCTGTTGCCTTGATTCTGGAGCTACGAGTAAGCCAAAAGCAGGGAGAGCAAAGCCTGGGGAAGACTGACTGTCGTTTTTGTGCATCTGTAGGTGAAGGCCAAGCTCAGGTGTGTCATGTATCACTCTTCCCACAGTTCCTATTGGTCATAACTCTTTCCACTAACCTCACAACTCTCTTCATAATACACTTCTATGACAAACACAGCTACCGAAACATTGACAGTCAACAATTTATTCTACTGAAAAGAAAACCCTTTTAAATTTCAGAGTCCAGATGCAATTTCAAAACGGTATCCTATTTATTTCCATATCACTTACCAATCTCAAAGCTCAAAGCTCTAACAGAGCTTATTTGTTTAAGGGGAAAAAAAATGAGAAATTTAAAATGTCAGAAGCATTTTCTTGTTAGCAGCAATAATATAGGGGCAAAAAATCAACTTCTCCCTGAGGGTCTGCAGACATTTGTTTCTATCTCTTCATAGTAGGGCAGCCCATGTTACAGATTAACACATCCTCAGTCCACTGCCCAATCAGCCGTCAGATAGAAAAACAACAGGATACTATACCTGAAAAGAGTCCTGAGTTATCAATGGGACCAGGGAACAGATTGTGTTCACCCACATTGTACATATCCCATCTGTCGAAGCCCACATATTTCTTCCACTGCTTGAACCACCGGCTGTCAATAAGATACCTAAAGACAGACAAAAATTTACTGTGACAGAAAAGCAGAGGGTACAAGTTTCTATAACTATATCCTTATTCTTTTTTACTGCCTTTCGTCTTAGAAAACTCATGATTCCCATTTAAAAAGCATGCTCAGTGCATTAGCACGGCCCACTACCACATGGCAGGTGTCCAGTTAGATGTCCATTAGTGAAATGACTGTTGAAAATAATGAAAAAATGGAAGGAAGAATCTAACTGATTTCAAAATATTTATTTAAATGGAGTCTTCTAATAAGTAAAATCTGGTTTGTTAACAACCAGGTCATTAATTTCATAATGATTTTTATAGAAGTCTTTATCTAGGTAGACAGTTTGTGGTTATACTACTTTGCTTGCTGTAAACAGTATTAAAATAAATTTTATTTCTGAAAATGACATAATAGCACCACCTACTCCAAACTTCCTTTGTGGACCAAACAAGATGTCCAAAAATGTGTCAATGCAACTAACACTCACTGTTCCTTTTCTCACTTTCTTGATAACATTTGACTACACTTAAGACTGCGATGTATGATTTATTCTAATACTCATTAAGATGGTAAATATAAGTTCATATGCATATACAAAGGAACTTGAAAAAGTTAGTGGAAAAAAAAGATAATGTAATTTTACCACATTTTTTGAACCTCCCTCATATATACCTGGAGTCCCAGTATGGTACTGTGGGTTAATGCACCCAGACTGCAAAGCCATTTGAACTGCAAGGTCAGCAGTTTAAGCTCACCAGCTGCTCCTTGGGAATCCTATACAGGGTTGCCAAGGGTCGGAACCGACTCAACGGCAACAACAACAAATACTTATATATGTAATTAGTTAAGCATGTAAGCATGCATATACATACATACACACCCATATATTTACAGTGTACACAAGTGTTCATCTTACGAAAAAGTATTAAACTGTGCTTCACATTAACTTAGTGCTTTTTGTACTTATGAAAAATAAGCAAATCTGGTTATATTTTTAAAGTATCACTTTTATGATTAAGACAGAAAGGAGGAGAAACTTCTGTGGGACAATGTTGTTAAGTGCTTTCGAGTCAGTTCTGCCTCATATCAACTCTGTAGGGGATTTTCAAGGAGTAGCTGATGGATTTGAACTGCCAACCTTGCAGTTCAAACACGCCTCGTGGTCCAGTGCTTATCCTATACCACCATTATGAGGGCTATAGGACAGTAAGGCACAAATATCTGAAAGTCTTTCAAATTTCATAACCAACAAACCTTTTAGAGATCAGGCAGCTTCCAAGAAGCCATAAGGATCCACAAATAAACTGAAACTTCTAAATGTTCTTTTCTCTCCAAACCCCTATCTAATCTTCCTCTGCTTCTACCAAGTATCCTTTTTTCATATGCCACCCCAGGCAGGATAACTTTAAAAGTATCTCTGCTAGCCCTGCCTTTCAGGCCAGCTCAAGATGAAAAGCTTATCTTCTCTTAACCTCAATGTTTCTCTTCCCAACTCAAATCCTCTGTCACTATAAATGGCATTATCATCACCGCCGTGGTTTCTCAATCACACTAAATGTAAAGCCTTATCTTAGTTTTCTACTCCGACAGTACCACCACCCAGCAACCTCTCCACTAGCAGAATATCCCTTCTAAACAATCTATCAAGAAACTTCATGTCTCTCAGTCTTGCTCTTCTAAATTCTAGACTTGCCACAATTATTTTTGATACTTGTTACCAAAATAAACTGGAGCTCACAGACATTATTTGTTCAGCTTCTGACCTTGACATCTGTTCTGTAGTTTACAAGTTACAGAGTTATCTACTTCTGATCCTCGCCTCATCCCAGTGAGGGCTGTGGGCCAAGTACCGCTACCCTGGTTTCACTAGTAAGGAACTAAGGTCTATGAGGTGTGGACGTCTTCGACCAAGGTCACACGGCGAGTCCTCGATGGTACAGGGTTCTCCCGACCCTCACGATCCCCGTGAGCTCTCCTCTTCTTACTCATCCTGCAGTCCTTGCCTCGGAAGGGTCCGCCCCCTGGAGCTCCGAAGGAGCCGGGATGAAACAGTGCCGCCGCTCTTTCCCAGACAGATTTTAGGGTTCCTCTCCGGAGGGGAGGGATTCAGGCCACCCTCTCAGGGTCACAGATACCGCCCCGCCCCCGCCCGGCTCCTCCCCAAGCCGGGAGAGAGGGGCCCGGCCTGAGGGCTGAGGCTTCGGTTCCGGGCTCCGCTCGGAAGAAGGGCGGACCCAGAGCTCACCACTGCGCCCCCCGTTGGAGCGTGGTCCTCATCAAAGCCCCGAGTTCAGATTTCTGAGTCTCCGCATCCGGTCGCTCACGGCAGCCTCCGCCTTCCGCCATCTCATCCGCTGTCCCAGCCCAGCCGGCCCCGATATCCGCCTTGCGCACGGCGTGCTGAAGCCGCGCCCACGCACGCACGCACGCACGTGAGCGCGCCCAAGCCCCGCCTCACGCCACGGCCTTTTGCGTCTGCCCGCCTGTTCTTTTTCTCCCCACCTCCTTGCACCTTCCGCCCCTGCTGGCCAGTCCCCTGTGCAACTGGGAGGAGGCCGGAAGAAGGGGCAGGCGAGGAAAAACTAACCGCCTCTCCCCCTGCCCTGCCCTGCCCTGCCTGCTGATTCTTGCTTCCGCTGTTTTGAGTGTCTGTGCGAATAAACGAGGCCATCTCAAGGCGTCAAGCTGTGAACCCACGATCCCTCGGGTACACCATTCCTACCTGAAGGGTTCTCCTGTCATGAGTAAACTGCTAAGGTCGGTAGTTTAAACCCACCAGCAGCCCCTAGCAAACCCTATAAAGGTTAGCTATGAGTCCTAACCTACTTGACAGCAGTTGACAATAACAACAACAAAGTAAATTCGTGGTTGAGTGTAAGAAACCCTGGGACTACATTTTATCAAGTGTTCACTCCTATGGCACAGAAATCAACAATCTTTCCTTCTGTTATATTTGAGGTCTACATTCGGCAAATCTGCTGCACAAGACGTTTTTAAAGTGTTGAAAGGCAAAGATGTCACTTGGAGGACTAATGCTGTGCCTGACCCAAGCCATGGTATTTTCAGTAACCTCACAGGCATTTGAAAGCTGGGCAGCGAATAAGGAAGATCATAGAAGAATTGATGCTTTTGAGTTATGGTGTTGGAGGAGAATATTGAAAGTGCCATGGACTGCCAAAAGAACCAGATCTGTGCTGGAAGTGCAGCCAGAGTGCTCGCTGGAGACCAGGATGGCCAAACTTGGTCTCTCATACTTCGGACATATTGTCAGGAGGGACCAGTCACTGGAGAAGGATATCATGTTTGGTAAGGTGGAGGGTCAGAGAAAGAGGAAGACCCCCAGCGAGATGGATTGGCAAAGTGGCAGTATCAATGAACTCAAGCATGGCAACAATTGTGAGGTTGGCCCAGGACGGGGCAGTGTTTCATTCTGTTGTACATAGGGTTGCTATGAGTCGGTACTAATTCGACAGTATCTAACAACAACAATTAAGTTGGAGGTCAACTACAACATTTTATCTTCAATCAGAGATCTTAGGCAAGTTCATAGCTACCCCAACGTGGCACCGATGGGGTTGGGGTTCCAACCTTGCTACCCTTACAGGGAGGTGCCAAGTATGATCTAGGCACTAACAATCATCTCCAAATTGTCTGGATGCCAAAATCATCTAGCTCAAGGCCTTATTCTGCCAAACTAACACGTTGTACACAGAACCATTTGCCTTGTCAAGGAGACAAGCGGCCACAGAGGAGGGATAGCAAGAGGAGAAGAGCCCAGATGTGTTCTCCACACGTTATCTTAATTTATTTTGGAAAGAAGGCACAATGTCCTAGACACTATGTTTTTCACTTGACCAATGCACACATAAACACAGCCCCCCTGGAAGCGGAAGTAAATCTAGAGCAAAATGGAAGAGGTCATGTGGTCTGTTCCAGTAGTTCCTAACCTCAGAGAAAAAATAAGATCAATGGGACCCAGTATATGCCTTTAAAGAACATACATAATAGAATAGAGAAACTCACTGTGTCATGTACTCAATTTTTACTCATAACGACCCTATAGGACAGAGTTGAACTATTCCAAAGGGTCTTATGGAAGCATATTACTTCCTCTTTCCCCCGTGAGAGTAGAAGTTGTTGTTGTTGTTAAGTGCCATCGAGTCAATTCTGACCCATAGCGACCCTGTGTAGGGTTTCTGAGGATCAGCTGGTGAGCTTGAACCACCGACCTTGCAGTTCAAATGACTTTGCAGTCTGATGCATTAGCCCACAGTGCTACACCATAACCACAGTGACAAGGAGTGTGTGATAAATGCCGCAAAAAGGTACAAACCAAACTCTTAATGGTGCTAGGCACAACCCCCTTTGACATGAACAGCATTTGAGTGTGGTCTTGGAGGTAAGTGTTGAAGGCATAGAGATCGGAGGGCATGTTACAAGAAGGGAGACTAAAGGATCAGAAGAGAATTTCTGGAACCAGCTGGCCAGGATCAGATTGGGATTAGGCCAGTTGAGTTGAGAACAGACTGCTAAAAGAGTCTAAGGGGACCTAAGGCCAGCAAGGAGACTGGAAACACCACAAGATCTTCCTTAAATGGCAGGCAAGTATTGTAGGAAGTTTAGGAGGAGAGAAGAAATAGCTGAGGGTTCTTCACACCCACAGTCCAGTGTTACAACCCAGACACCATTGGGTACTTCTCACTGAGGAAGTGATTTCCGGGAAGGAGAGGAGATCAACATGTTAGGGTTGGAGGAAGTGGGAGTAGGTCAGGAGGCAGGAGAGAAAAGGGGGCTGGCCCAGAGAAGGTATAGATTATTCGAACCGATGTGCTAGTTTTTTATGTTAGGTTTTGACTAATTAAAATTAGTTTGCTCTTCCTGGGATATTTGTTGTTGTTGTGAATTGCCGTCAAGTCGGTTACGACCCATAGCAACCCTTTATAGGGTTTTTGAGGAGCAGCTGGTGAGCTTGAACCTCTGACCTTGCGATTCAAACAGCTTTGCAGTCTGGCACATTAACCCACAGTACCACACCAGACTCCTCCTGGGATATTACACATCAGGATATTCTAGAAACAGAAGCCTCTTGGCAGATTGTAAGGAAAAGTACACTTGGAAGCCAGTCACACACAGAAGTGCATGAATCAGGTATGGCAGAACAGTTGGTACTCTACTGCTAATATAAAGGTTGGTGGTTTGAAGTCACCTAGCAGTGCCATGGAAGAAAAGCCTGGCAATTGTTTCTATAAAGGTTACAATCAAAAAAACCCTCTAGAGCAGTTCTATAATGTGGGGACACTGCAGGTTCAAATCAACTTGATACCATTTAAATAAAAATTTTTTTTTAATAACAACATAGTAATTAATCGCACGCAGATCAGAGTTAGCACTATGTGGTGATTCAACATCTGGGGAGCCAACTCTGATTACCCTCACCTCCCTCCTATGAAAGTTCTTTGAAACTTAAAAATGCTATCAAACAAGAAATACTACTTTTATTCCTATTATGTATGAGGAAAACAGTTGCCTTACTGACATTAGCTCAGAACGTATATCTGAGGATGTTTTGCTTCCCCTTTCTTTTTATAGCAGATTCTCTTTATACCATGTATGGCATTGGTCAGAGTCTTCAGGACATAGGACAAGTCCTTGGCACCAGCACTGTTTCTAGAATGGAGGACAAAACCTAATTATAAATATGAAAATTTCAGAAAATCTTTTTAAACCAAGAACTCTTCACTGTTATAAAATGGCTATAAAAACAGTGTGCTAATTATGGGTGGCTGTTAGTGGTATGCGGTGGAGTCAGTTAAAGCTCATAGCGACCCTGTATAGGGTTTCTGAGGCTATGAATCTTTATGGGAGCAGAAAGTCTCATCTTTCGTTCACGGAACAGCTGGCTGGTAGTTTCGAACTGCTGACCTTGAGATTAGCAACCTGATTTGTAATCACTACAGTACCAGAGCTCCTTGCTAATTATCGGTAGTTCCTTAAAAAAATAATATGAAGATAGCAAAGTGCCATTAGTTAAAAGGCAAAGAGTAAAGTGAAACTTCATGGTTGGATGATCATTATTAAATCCAGTTTTTCAACTTTGTTAGTAAGTTTGATTAAAATGCTCTTTTTTTGTATGGTTTTTCTTTTTCAGTTCTGACTCACAGTGACTCTGTATAGAATTTCAGAGGAGTGGCTGTTTGGTGTTTTTTTTAAATTGGGAATTAGAAACAAAGAGCATCTGTCCCTGTGTTCCTGCTGTTATGGGAGGGGCCAACCAAGTTGAGAGGAAATGACAGGAGTGATTCAGTTCAGGGAACACCCAAGCCCCAGGCTCTCTACCATGAAGCCACTTTACCCTAGGGAGAACTGTAGGCCATGTAAAGTTCCCAGGCCTCCTAACTACAGAGCACCTTGAGTCACGAGTTGTTGTGTGCCATAAAGCCAATTCTAATTCATAGCAACCTTATAGAATTTAGTTGAACTGCTTTATAACGTTTCCTAGGCTATAATAGGTCTTTAGTCCTGCAAAGCAGCATGTGGGTTCGATCATTTAGCAGTGGCACACTTAACAACTGAATGGTTTAAAATTAAGAAAGATGTGTGACAGAGTTGTATTATTTCACCATATTTATGCAATCTGTATGCTGAGCAAATCATCTGAGAAGCTGGGTTCTATGAAGAAAAACATGGCATCAGGATTGGAGGAAGACTCATTAACAACCTGTGACATGCAGATTATACAAGCTTGCTTGCTAAAAGTGAAGAGGACTTAAAATACTTACTGATGAAGATTAAAGACCACAGCCTTTGGTATGGATTGCATCTCAATGCAAAGAAAATAAAAATCCTCACCACTGGACCAATAAACAACATTCTTATCAACAGAGAAAAGATTGAAGTTGTCATAGACTTCATTCTTCTTGGATCAACCATCCACACTCATGGAAGCAGCAGTCAAGAAATCAAAAGATGTATTGCATTATGCCAATCTGCTGCACAAGACCTTTTTAAAATGTTGAAGAGCAAAGATATCAGCTTGAGGACTAAGGTACGCCTGACCCCAATAACCTCATATGCATGCAAAAGCTGGACAGTGAATAAGGAAGACCGTAGAAGAATTGATGCTTTAGAGTTATGGTGTTGAAGGAGAATATTGAAAGTGCCATGGACTGCCAAAAGAACCAATAGATCTGTGTTGGAAGAAGTACAGCCAGAGTGCTCCTTGAAGGCCAGGATGGCCAAACTTTGTCTCTCATACTTCCAACATACGGTCTGGAAAGACCAGTTGCTGGAGAAGGAAAACATGTTTGGAAAGGTGGAGGGTCCGAGAAAAAGAGGAAGACCCCAAGCGAGATGGATTGGCAAATTGGCAGCATCAATGGGCTCAAGCTTGGCAACAATTGTGAGGTTGGCCCAGGACC